AATCAGGAACCCCTATTTACACACCTTTACAAGTCTACTGGCCATAAGAGACTCATCATGAGGAATTACACTGGGGTAAAATTTGTAGTGTTTCATAATGTGTTCCTTGTGTTAATTAGCACAAGGAAATCACTAATGAAAAGCCACAACCTTTCCCTCACTGTTTTTCAAACCCCCTTTTGATCCCTTACAAACTTACTTTATTATAACTCTCTCTTCCCTGCCAGCCTCACTCTATAGCAGAATGGATAGATGTTATTGATGTGAAGCATGCACATTCCTTTCGTAGAGAATGTGTTTCCAATCCAGGGCTCTGATGTTTTCAACTTGTGGCTCATACCAGCAAAGGTCACTCTTGATTGGATGGGAATGCCTTGCAATTACTAAAATACATAAATACTAGGCATCCTATCATACACTTACTCCCTCGCTTGCTCACCCAGGTGGGATGAATGCAATCAAGTTATTGTTCGACACTGAGAATTCTCATTTCTTTATCCTCAGCACAACCTTTAATTATTCAATTGCAGTCTTGTCATTATTCATAGGTAAAGATCATTGCCTGATTTAGGACTCAATACACATTTGCACATTGTAGGATTATTCTGAGTTTAGGCTGAGAAGAGGAATATATGCGTGGATAAATATATGATCTGTGCAGTTCTGTAAGCACAAACATAACGCACTAATAACAACAAATTGCATTTACAGTATAAGCAACTTACTTGTTAAAAAGACATTGAATGAAGGGATACAGATATGTGCAAGAACAACAATTAACAACAATTGTTGGCTGGCAATACATGTGCAAAATAATTTGTGTATCGGTGCAGTCAAGGTAACTAGTATTGTGTATAAAACATTAGGAAGAGAAACTGCACACACATGGTTTGGTCCAGGCATTCAGCATCTTTCAACTAACCCTTTATCATTACAGTTTCGGAATGACATTTCCTTCTTCTCCCCACCCACCCCCCTCCATATTGTAAAAGAGAGAGGAAGAAAATCTCCGGTGAAAGTAATTTTCTTGGGATCAAAGTAACACATTCGCTTCTTTAAATAGAACCGAATGTTCTTAAAGCAGACACAACCTTTAGGGGGATTTGCCTGTCAGCATCATAAATTGCAAGTCAACCAAGCAATGTTTTCTATGTACTGAGGCTGTCTTGCAAGTGAAGTGATTAGCAAGCAAGATTTCACCGTAGGTTTAAATGTAGAACTTGTAAAGGAATAAAAAAGACAAACCAATCACTTTGAGCGCTAATTATTTTTTACACTGCATCCAAAAACTATTCCTATCAATTGCTGCAGAACAGATGCAGTATGTTCTTTCTGAGTAACCAATTTGTCATTAAATTTGCTTCTTTTTGTCATTAAAAAAAATAATTATTTAAATATCTTCCCCTAATGTTTATTTTCATATTGTTACTTTTCTAATCTCTTCGGATTTGGTCATGTGCCAAAAATGCCAGATGACCATCTCCCAGGTTTGTACGGATTAATGGAAAGAGGAGTCTGAACTGCTTTGAGGTCTCAACCTTCAAATCCCTTCCCAATTTTATCTGTCCCTACGTTGGCAATCTCCTCCAGCCCTATTCTCCCTTCTTCCACCCTATAAGCTATGATCATTCCTCATTCAGACCGTTCCACCATCAGTGGCCAAATCAGCAGCCACTATCTCCGATTCTCTGGAACTATTTTCCAAAATCTCTCTTCTCCTTAACTTCAAAATCCCCTTAAAATCCTACATCTTTGACCATGCCTAACTTCTTGGGTTTTCTCAGCACTCTCACATAACGTTACTCTCTGTGTTGTTATCCCTATTGTCTTTGTGAAGCATATAACAATGTACTATATAAGCATAGTTATTATTCGTCAATTCATTCTTTTTTCATTTGTGAGTAAACACCAGCCTTCATTTGGTACATTACCCTATAAGAAATCTCACATTCAAATTCAAACTTGTGTCTTTCCAATATTACCTGGATGGTGTCTTATGAACTTTTACACAATACACTCCTATTTTCCAACTGTTCCAAGAGTAATATTCTCTTCACACGTTTCTTCCGCGGATATGACATGCATAAAAACCTCAGTATCTCTGGTGTGAACTTGCTTCAGTGAGCTACATTTTAATCATATGCATCAGCTGTTTTATTAGTCAGTAATAAGTTATGGATTCATACTCAATGAATTTGAAATGATTACACATGAATCATTAACCAGTAGACGTATTCATGAACCAGGTCCTTGGAAGGACAGGCGTCAATGTTCAATACAACACTAACCGTGATCAATAAAAGGAACAAAATGCAACAAAACCAACTCATAAACTGCAGAATATAAAAAAGCAACATATGGCAATCATTTTAAATCTCATTGTTAGGTTTAGATCAGAGTTAGAAACCACTCAAACTTTGTAATCATAGTCTATGATACCATCTAAAAAAAAACCTTCCCTTGGGATTCCTCCTATACGTTCATTATTCTGTAAAATAATAAACACTGCTGCTGCAGAAATATTCAGATCCTGTACATTGCAAGAGAGCAATTCACTAGTATTGAAGAAATTCGGCTAAAACTTCCAGTTTGGAAATGATGATTTATCAAATTATCTCAGTTACCTTTGATATCTGAGCCGTCATGGTTATCTAAACTTGTACACCAGTTTATTCACCCTGCACAAAGCCACATCTACATTGTGGAGACGTTTTACACTCTAGGCCTCTGAGTCTAACCTCTTGACATTTGGGTAACTCCATGTTCCCATCCAGGTTTGTCCCTGTCACTCCTATAGATTCTGATCATTATCAATCGTCTGACGTGTGAAGTTTTAAGTCTGTTTTTCTTCATTTGCTAAACCCATCACTATTTTTAGTGCTTCATGGTCAACTATTGGGCTGATCTTGTATCTTCAAATGAACTTCCTCAGCCAGCCAGTAATAGCACAAATCCTCTACCATCCCTTGGCATTAGTGTTGATAGCCCTGATGACCTTGTCGGATTCACTTTTCAGAACTCCTTTCTTACGAAGACAAGATACAGTCCTGTTCTGATGATGTGTAACATGTGAGATAAGAATTTCTTTCCAAAGGCTGGCAACCTGCTGGTTTGAGTGAGTAAAATACAAGCAATAGTCACTGATGGACTATAACGTTACAATACAGTGTCTCCGATTCCCTCAGAACCTTCTTCCAAAGCATCTAGGTTCTATGTCTTCTGGAATGTGCAATATTCTTTTGTTTGGGCTTTCACAATTTGGGAGTGGTGTAGTTCACCACGAGTGAAGTCATCACACTCTGTGTTTAAAACAAGCATTGAATCGAGCAGCACTAGGTGTTGTGTACTGGACAAGGTTGCACTCATTCAGTCAGTCACAGAAACATGAGTGGGCCATTTGGCCCATTGAGCATCTCCCTTTGCTTGACTGAATGCATCAATCATCGGATCAGTCAAAGTCCATTTCACCCGTCTTTTTCCTGCGTCAGTGACAACTCTTCATTGTTTTCAATTACCATGCCATCTACAGAGCAGCCACACAGGGAAATAACTAATATGTTCACTGAGGCTTTAATTTTCTGACCTGCAAAGTACCAGAGATGCCTTTGAAATATCAGTTCCTCACTTGGTAAATTTCCAACCTTTCATATGCAGATTTCAGTGACTACTTTGATTGGATGTCAAACATGTACTCAGTAGATATAGATGAGCTTACAATAAATAATGGTTGGAGTGAATCATATACAGTATTAGTCTGAGCACAATTTTGACAGTACAAAATCTATGCAGCGGGTCCCCATTCTAAAGTGTGAGGCTGAATATTCATTCTGAAAATGAAAGGTTATAATAGTGAAATATCACTTTGTTGCATTTTGTATCTGATTGAAAGTGGCAGAACATTGCAGTTCACTTTAATTCCTGACAGAGGAGAGGGTAAAGCACAGTACCTACCATGATAGTTTTGCTATATTAGAAAAGAGAGAATTTATTATTCTATAATATATTTGACGCTATAGAAAAACAGGTACATTTGAAAGAAATCTAAAAAATTTTAGTTTGCTCAGGGCAAGTGCCAAGTAAACTTGGGATACGTATTAATCATATTTAATGTAGTTTGAGAATTTTTTAAAATATGTAGTTTAAAATTCAAATACACAATAATAATAATCCTTACATTTGATTATAGCGCCATTCACATCAGTGGGATGTTTCAAAGCGTTTCACAGGATATACTGTTAAGTATAGTGACTGAATTGTATAGGTGAACATGGCAGCCAATTTGTCTACAGTAATGTCCCACAAACAGCCATGAAGTGAGTGACCATTTTTTTCTGGGGCATTGTTGGCCAGGACACCGGGAAAAACTCCCTTCTCTTTTTGAATAGTGCCATGGGATCTTTAAAGTCCACCTGAGCAGGCAGGCAGACATCTGTTTCACTAGGGAAGCATATAGATGAAGAAAAGGAAGGGACTGAGAATAGACCCCTGATGTACACTGCAGGTTTGTACGTGGGATAAGAGAATAAGCTATTGGAGGAAACAAAGTGGAAGCCATTGAATCAAATAGGATTGGAACCAAGACTTATGTTTTGCCAATCTGTGCCTAAGCACCTTGGGGTGTCTTTCTCACATGAAAGGAGCTATATAAATGTAAAGTTGTATTGTAAGCTCTCTGGAATGAGTAGGAGTTATTCCTCTAGGAGGAGAATATGCACTCCATTACCAGACAAGCAGACGTCATACACATGGATCTCTCTATGGAGATTTTAAGTGTGGTGATGGGCTTCCATGTATGTCAGGTGCCCAGCTGATATAAAAAAAATCATTCACTCTGAATTGAGGGAACCTCACGCTAACAGCAGTTAGCAGTTGAATGGAAGTGCAATGGCGCCAGTATCACTGAATACTACAACAAGATGTTAATACAACATGTTGATGGTTTTACTGATGTCTGACTTTAAACTTATTAATGATGATTTTTATTGCTTCCATTGATTTAGGCATTACAGCAGAAGTTCTGGTGGTGAATTCATTTGAAGAGTTGCGGTCACGAGCTAATGAAGCTGAGGGGAAGATTGTGGTCTACAACCAACCGTTTATCAGTTATGGAGAAACTGTGAGCTACAGATTTGATGGGGCTTCAGAAGCTGCTAAAGTGGGAGCTAAAGCTTCACTTATCAGATCGATAACTCCCTTCTCTCTTTACAGGTGAGCTAAAGCTTGACATTTTCAGTATTGAAGTTGACTGTAATGTTCTATTATTTCACTCCATTCTGAATAAAGTTAAATTTTGACACTCAGTTTATAATTTATTTATTATGGTCAGGTAGGCTCTGAAGCCCATAGAAACCCATCACTGTGCTTATCAAAATCAGGCAAAGTTCTTCATATGTAACGACTCATACATGGACATTTCCCTGAATGGAATACGTACTCTCTCCCTACTGGAATCACCCTAGTTACCTAAATAGAGTACTAGGCCCACATTGGTGAGAGATGCAGTGCAACCAGTGAAAACACATCGCAGGAGAGGAAGAACTGTCTGGCAAACTTCCCACTACTTGTCTAGCTCAGACCACCGTAGGGTCCATTGGACTTTGGTCTGCAAGGTTAGTAGGAGCTGCAGCATGTATTAAATCAAACCTTTTATAATCCATAAAACTAAAATATTAATTAAAAATGTAATTACATTTTTCTTGTTAGCTCCTATTAAATGGTGTGTAGTGTTTAACTGCAACCTGTTATTTCCCTTCATTCAATTGCGATTTCCTGTCAAAATACTCTTAATAATCCTTTCACATCTGGAGGACATCCCAAAGTGCTTCACTGTAAAGTGCAGTGATTGTGTGTACTGTGAGCGAAAGGTTTTATATTTATGAACTGCAGGATGAAAATCATACCTACTGATGTGAAGTGTTGTTTGCAGGGTACCTCCTCTATGTCATGTCAATGTACATGGAGACGTAGGCCCATTATATTCGCTCCTGGGAGAAAACTCCACCTCCCTCAAAATATACACTTACACATCTTTCCTGGTATTGGCCTCTCAGTCTCCAACTTGGAGAGACGGTAAAACAGAAAAATCAAAACAAGACCAATTTTGGGGGAAAAAAGTTTACCAGTAAAATTCCCCCCGACTCCTGAGGGCAGTCAGACAAGCTCGAGGAGAGGATCGATCTACCACCTACAGAAGAGCATTGCTCTGTCTCTCTGTTACATTGTAGGGGACATCACATGGTAAAATAAATTCCCAGTTTGTCACTTTTGATCCTCTCTTCCTTAAGAAATCTATCTAGAATCCTTTTGAATGAGTAGATGCTGTTTGCACAAACAGAATCACAAGGGAGCCTACACTACACTAACTATCTACCAACTTCTGGTTGAAGAACTGGTTCCTCATGTCTTCATGTCCAGCCTGAAGTGTTTTCTCTCTAGATCTGGAGCCTGCCTTCAACAATGAAGACTTTGTCACCTGACATTTTGTTAACCCTGTGAAGTGTGTAATATAATTTACATTTATGGAGAGCTTTTCACGTCGGGAGGAAGTCTTGAATCATTTCACAGTATCTTGTAAACCTTAACAAGTCTGCCTCTCAGTCACCTCTCCCCACTCTGACTTGTGAGATCTCAGTTCTGACTTGAGGTTGGCTAAGAGCCAATGCACGCAAACACTCTTTACAGACACTTTTGTGTTGCAGATACTTTGTCCCATTGTTACACCGCAGGTTATTCTTTTTCAGTTATTTTTAATAAAATAATAATCCTTACAGTTGGTTTTGCACCTTTCATGCTGGGAGGATGTCTCAAAGCAATTCACAGGATTTATTCGATGATGTGAGAAGGTTATAAAAGCTGAAGAATTATTAAAGTCTGGCTGACTGTGTACTTTGTAGGCAAACCCCATTATAATGAATCCTGAAAAATAAATTAGACTCACATCTGTAGCCATTGGTTAGAATGGAAAAAAATCCACTATGACCAAAAATAGCACCTGTTCTCAAATTCTATCAGCCTTGTTTGTTAATGCTGTCAGTGGAGCATGCCAGATGTGGAGTGAGTGGAAAGGCTGAGTCTTTATCATTTAAACTCCAATGGAAATGTCACACTGGAAAATCATTATGGACAGGTGTGCGATGTCTATATTAATCTAAGTAGATGCAAAATGCGATTTTCTGCACCAACAAATGAGGTCGGTTGGTTAAATGGGAAAACTATCTGCTTTCAATATGTGCATGCAGATTGGGTGTTTGTTTCGAATGGTGTGCAAGAAATCCTTTGAGAATTGGAATAATTCTACGGCAGTGCTGCATGTGATACCGATAAACTACTCCAAATTGAAGGCAAAATTAAACTAATTCTGCAGCTGGGAGGAGTCCAACAAAGTTAAGTTTTGTCCTTTAAAAACTTTTGGTGGCTGTTTTGCTTCAATAATTGGAAGAGGTGACCAATTATTTCTGCCCCTGGGACTTCTGCAAGTAAAGGAACAATCTGCTTCTTCCTTAGGCTCCTCTGCTCTCAGAATATTGAATAGTGTTTCACTGGTTAATAATTCTACACCTCAGTCTAGGTCATGCTCTCCCTTTTAAAAACTAACCTCTGTTTGGGAAAGACTTGTATGGTGTCAGTGCAGTTAAAGTGGTGAGGATGCCTGCTATATATCAAATGGGCTACTGGCCAAGTTAGTGCCAATTATAAAGTGGTGGTTGAAAGTTCTCTTTGGGAAAGTGGTGGTGTCACTGTTAGAAAGAATACAGTGCCTTCCCCACTCTTTTCACCTCCCCAATGCACAAGACCTTAGCTTGGAGATGATCTCAGGTCAGAACTGAGATTTGTTACCTGGTAACCTAAAAGGATGCTCTTGCTGTCAGGAATTTATTTTCCAGGCCCCTCACTAAGTGTAAAATGATGGCTGTTGTTTGGAAGTTTGGAAGTTGAAAAGCCCGAAGGAGGAAGCACTCGCCAGAAGTTGGGGAGGTGTGTGTGTATGTAAGCGCTCTGATGATGCTACCCTGTGTGAAGGGTGCTATATAAATGAAAGTTGTATGTGTGATTTCAGTCCCATACATGCTAACAAAGATAGATTTTCAGGACATGTTTTGATCGCAATTTCTGTGCTGTTCCTTAATTTTTCCTGGCAATATTTAAGAAGCAAAAGGCATTAAGGATATTGGAATTTTCACCCAATTTAATGCTATCCTAGTTGTGAGATTATGTGTTATGACCAACAATCCCCCAAATCAAATCATTCACTCACTCCATGACTATTTGCTGTTTACAAACTGGCTGACGCCTTTGCCCACAAAAGACAGTCCACTTTGCAGTATATCCTTTGAGACATGCTCTTGATTTAAAAGGGCTCTACCGATTGCAAGGATTATTATTTGCCAAAAGAAGCATGAAATGTAATAATAATAATCCTTGCGTTTAGTATAGCAGCTTTCATTTTGGAAAGATGACTCAAAGCGTCTATCCCTAACATGCCTAAGTGCTTCACAGGATTTTATTGTAAAGTGAATTTGTAGGTGAATATACTTGATATGCTGTCTAACAGTGTGACTGAAACCCAAAGCCAAGCAGGTAGGTGAGAATCTTAAACACTGAGCATGTTGGCAGTTGAATAATTGAAAAATAATTAGCTCTTTAATGGTGCAAGTGTTGGCGAAGATTTTTTAAGAATATCAAAGGTATTAGAAACTTTGGAACTCTCTCCCTCAATCCCTCCACCTTTCCCCCTCCTTCCCCATTTTCACATCACCCCTAAAGACCTTCCTCTTCGACCATGCCAATGGCCACCTCCCCTGTCACTGATAAGGAAGAGTCATGTTGCTCAGTGGTTAGAGCACTCACCTCACAAGTGAGAGACGTGAGTTCAATTCCCGGCAGGTCGAAACCTTGGGCAAGTTTCCTTACTCCACACATCCATCCCTCAAGAAAAAAAAATTGGTCACTTCAATCCACGACTGTTTGTGGGATACTGCTGTGTGCAATTGGCTGTTGCGTTTCATCCACAAATATACAGTCAATTCACTTTATAGTATATTCTGTGAGGCGCTTTAATACGTGAAAAGTGCTATATCAAATGCAAGTATTATTATTATGAAGTGTTCCGAGATATGACCCTGTGTAATCCTGGGTAATATATTATTATAGACCATTAACATTTAAGATTGGAGTAGTAGTATTGGCTGAAATTTTTCAGTTCAGTCTTAAGTTGCAAGTTAGTTTTCACAGTTCTGGAGAGAAAGTCTTCCAAATTCTGCCAATTTTTCACAATTCTACACCATCTTAATTTTTAAGAGAAAATGGCCTTACATGCTAAAGGTAGTTGGAATTCTAGTCATAGAATAATCTCTTTTGCCCAATGTATAAAATAAAATCTCCTGCCTCAGGGTCAAAATTATAATAATAAAATGATAATCCTTGCATTTGATAGTCACTGCACTTTACAGTAAATCCGTTGAAGCCCACAGAGACGTCCTCCCGACGTGAAAGGTGCTATGTCAAATGCAAAGGATTATTGTTTTATTATTCTAACATTATATCATAAGCAAATGGTCCAAGTCGTAGCTTGCAAGCCATTCATGCATTGGATGAGTTTAGTCTGATGAGCAATGACTTCCTATGATGTCTGCCAGGATGTTATTTGGTGCTCAAGAGAGAAGTCAATGAGAATGATCCATGCCCTCTGACAGCTTTGGAGTTGCTTTTTTTGGCTCAGCAAACAGAGCAGCAGACGACCTTGACACTTCATAATGTCCTAATGAGTCTGGCAGCCGCAGAGAGAGAGAGAGACAGATGGATGTTTGAGAACAATTTAAGTGAATTCTCCCACACTAATTTAACACTGCAATGGCATCCTTGATGTAGACTTATTCTAATGAATCATCTGGAGTAGATTGTACATACTATACAGTATACAATATCATCTTGATCTTTCATTTTAAGAAAAGTTGAAAAGGAACGGAGATAAAATATTTTTACACACAAATTTAATTTATTTAGTGTGTGACAGCAATAAATATTGTACTGAATTAAATAATATCTCACTTCCTTTTAATTTGGGTGTGAGCGTTCAGTGATGGTATCCAATCTAAATATAGCTGGATCTTGGATTATATATCAGGTGTAAAGTGTGTACCGAGTGTCAGACTGGCTCAGTTAGTAACACTCTTGCCTCTCAGTCAGAATATTGTGGCTTCAAGCACCACCTGAGAATTTTGAACTCACAATTTAGTTGACACTCCAATACAGTATTGGGGAAACACTGGAGCCACAAAGAGTAAACTCCTGTGAAGCACTTTGGGATGCATTGGTGACACAATAAGATGCTCTACCAAAATGCAAGAATTATTATTTACTCAAATCATTAAAAATTGCTTCCAAAATCAGAATGTGCTGTAGAATCTATGGTGCCTTAAAATTGCAGTCACATTCCTTTGCCCCACCAAAAACACCCTCTACAATTTTTCTGCGCCTTACACTCAATGCACCTTATACTCAAGTAAATATGGCTAATACTATGATTGTTGTATCTTGTCAGATTGATGAAAGTGTACAGTCATCTGATTTATCTCAAGGACCAGAGTTATAGTTAATAAATAGTTTCTGTTTTGTGGCTATACTTTAATTTTTTAAATTATTATTATTATCCTCTCAGCCCTCACACAGGGTGGCAAGGTTACCAGGATAATGTGACACAAATCCCAACGGCATGTATAACAATAGAAGATGCAGAGATGCTGAGACGCATGTCTGACCGAGGTTCCAAGGTGGTCATCAATCTCAAAATGGGGGCCAAGACATATCCAGATGTTGATTCATTTAACACTGTGGCGGAAATAATCGGAAGCAAGCACCCCGAACAGGTTTGTCTTATATTCCTTGGATATATTATATATATATGTAATAAAGTTACAATCAGGCAATTAAAGGGACACTATATGGTCCCAGGGATACAGAGTTTAAAAGGTCCCCATGTATGGAGTAGGTGAGAACTAAAGTGGAGACTAAAGTGATTGATTTATATTCTTTTTTTCTCCAACTCAGTAAAAGAGAAGCTTTTTAAAACAACACCTGTCTCTGACTCTAATAATTTACAGTTTGGTAGATTTTCTTTTTGGTACAAATCAAATGAAAAATTGAGAAGCAATTACACTGTTTTTTTTTGTTTGGTCAGCCAGGTTTCTGACACAGGGTAATTTCTATCTCATGCTCAAGAGTATCTGAACCAGACTGAAAGTTCTACATGTGCATGGAAATTTCCATTTATATTGAAATATGTGCACACTTTTCAGTGCAGGTTGGCAAGAGAAAAGATTTGAGGATCGCAGTGTGCGTATTGGGGCATTGTAAGTTTAAGCAGCAAAAATGGTGCAGTTTACCTTTGTGAACAGTGATTTACTCTTCCAAGACCCGATGAGCCAGGCTAGCTGGTCTTGTCATCAGCAGTGCCTCAGACCACTGCGTACCTGCCTGGCTGGCTCTGAAACTTGACTACCAAGATTCCGCAGAACTATATATTTTGAACTCAGAGAGGCCAGGTGAAGCACTATCTCGCTTCACTCACATAACATCAATCATTGTTGCTGAGTAGAGTCGAGGATCTCTCCAGGGGGAGAGAGTATTGTCCCCTATCAGATGGTCACCAAGAGCCAAGACCCAGCAACAATACACCAACCTTACTATGAGTAGAATAAGGAGAAATCCTATTCCATTGTGATGTGGAGAAAGTCAGTGTTACTAAGAATAATCACCAATTGGACAAATATTGGGAAACAAATGCAGATTGTAAATTAACTGTGAGAAGCAGATTGCAAGATTATATTTTGAAGCAAGATAATGGACTATTCAGTGTTGAGTTATTACCATTGTATTATAAATATGAATAGAAACTGTTAAGCAACCATAGGTTTGGGATATTGTTGAAATATGCATGTTTCTGTGATGTCTGTTATTGCCCCTTGGCCAACCACATTGTGTTTATTAAGGATCACTCACAACAATTTTGTATTTATAAAGCACCTTTCATATCGGGAGGACATGCCAAATGCTTCACAGAGCTGGCCATGAGCTCAAGCTGGGGGTGGGAGGAACTGAAGGTGAGGGGAATGACCAAAATCAGTCAAACAAAAGAGCAGAGACAGAAAGGCTCACTAATGGTTTCAAATTAAATGGGATTAAATTTTAATTTATGTATTGTGCAATATTAATAGTTTTTATCAATGCATTGATTGACTGCAGAACAATGTTGCAAAGCTGAATGTGAATTAATTCTGTTCTGGAGCATTTTGCATTAACCCAGTTATTTTAGTCAAGATGGCAGGAAGTTAGATTGACCTTTGAGGGTCAGGGATGATTATAACATTGTGATTAGTGACACACCTGACTATTTGTGGCACCACAACTGTCCTTGCTTCTCGACCTCTGAGGTTGTTCCATCCTGCTCATAACGTGCTCTGAATGTCAATAGGCTTGTGCAGGTGGGAAATCTTTTCCTTCCATGACATCAAATATTGAAAGAACTGTGCATGTTGCCAAGAGATATCAGGATTTTGAACTCAAAGTCTAGTCTGCCACTCCAGTGTATGCTGGAAGTTGGGGGGCTGCATTGTTTCTGAATGTGTCCTTCCTTCAAATGATATGTTAAACTGAGGTCCTATCTGCTTGTTTAAAGATCCTATTCAAAATGAGAAGTTTTGTCTGGTATCCTGGTCATTAATCCTCCAGATAAAGCTAATCATTTCATTTGATGACTGTTTGTGAGATATTGGTGTGTGTAAATTGCTTGCCATGCTCACAACAACAACAACAACTTGGCTTTATATAGCGCCCTCCCTGCCAGACGGGTCTCAGGGCACTTCACAGTAATGGATCCTGGGGCCGAGCCAGGGGGAGGGATGGGAAGGTGACCAAAGGCGCGGTCGAAAAGAAAGGTTTTCAAATGTGCAATCACTACACTTAAAAGTAAAACCCTGTGAAGGTTTGGAGATGTTTTTACACCATGATAGGGTACTGTATCAAATGCAGGATTATTATTATTAATATTGAAATGAACATTCTGTGCTTGGGTGCAGGCACTCCTGATGGGATGAGCTAAACCACTTAATAATATCAGACTGAATTAATCAGAGATTTTACTTTATTTTTATACAGCTTATAGTTGTATTTACTTTAGATAATAGTCACTTGGCAAACTGTATCTGATTTATTTTGTACCTCAAAATTAGTGTTCTTAAAACATCCTGCTCCTTAATAATCATATAGAAATTGGGATTAAAAAGGTGTCCTTTTAAGATAAAACAAAATAAAATACGGAGAATGCTTAATCCCATTTTAGAGAACACAAATGTTTCTTTGCCATCCACTGGTCTAAAATTGATTTGAAAGTAGAACTAAAACATTTGAAAGTTTAAAAAGTATTTCTAGCATCAGGGAATCCCCAAATCACCTCTCACTAACTATAAAACAATGACAATGTCAAATGGACTGTGAGAAGTCAGAGAGACATCGTTGTCCTAAAGTCAGGGAGTATTCATTCCCAAACTGGTCATTACGGACGGTTTTCTCCCGATAAAACATTTGTTAATTAGCCCAAGTGACAATTAAGGAAGACTAGTTTTGACCATATTTTTCTCTCATTATACCCCATTCATGTCCCTGCTAGGGTTCATGCCCTCATTCAGGCATAATTGTAACATAGTCTGCAGAACTGTAGGCAAGGTTGCAGAGTGAAAATCCTATTTGCTTTTCTCTCTGAGGTGAAGCACTGTGCTATTGTGACATTCTCAGTCTGGTGATCTGGATAATACTGCCTTTATATTGCGGCCTCCTGCGGGGCCTGATTAAATAGTAGGCCCTCTGCTTTATCTTGGTGCTTCAGATTTGCACCGGGTACATTCCAGGGCCAAATCCACAGCACCACGGGAAACCACTGCACACATGACAACTGATACATTTGGAAAGATTTACAAAGAATACTCCCTCCCAAACCCTTCTATTTTCTTTCTCTCATTTGAAGATCCAGCTTCCTCTTCAACGCATCTATACCGTTTGATTCAACCACTGCTTCAGTCAGCGAGTCTGACTACCCTCTGCTTGAAGTCGTTCCTCCTAAATTCTCTTTTAGATCCCCTCGTCATTATCTTATAATAATAATAATAATAATAATAATAATCCTTGCATTTGATATAGCGCTTTTCACGTCGGGAGGACGTCCCAAAGCGCTTCACAGAACACACTGTAAAGTGAATTGACTGTATATTTGTGGGCGAACGCGGCAGCCAATTGCGCACAGCAATGTCCCACAAACAGTCGTAGATTGAAAATGACCAATTTATTATTGCTTTTTTTTTTTGTTTTTGTTTTTTGAAGGGATTATTATTAGGCGTGTGGAGTAAGGAAACTTGCCCAAGGTTTCGCCCTGCCTGGAATTGAACTCAGGTCTCTCGCTTGCAAAGCGAGTGCTCTAACCACTGAGCTACAGGACTCCACACTTATACTTGTGTTCCCTGGTTATTAACTCCCCAGCCAGTGGAAACAGCATACAACATGTATAATTGTTTCCCAATTCGAGGATTGTGACTTTATTTTATGGCCAGGAATCTGCATGGAAGATCTGTGCAGGCAATGAGTATAGAAAGAAAGCTTTCAACCTGCCTGTGGATAGAAGAGTAACTCCATTTAATATCCTGTCTCTAGATGCGGTATCCTGTGGATACTGCATCACTATCTCTGGAGCTAGAGGCAGTGATATCAGTTCCAACATGACCATCAGTGAAAGAAGAACAATATAAAGGTGACTTAAGAACTGTTCAGACTTGCCTGGAATAAGGTTCAATAGATGCGTACGCTCTGAGAAAGAGACCGTACTCTACTGTTCGAGGTACTTACTGCTTATTGGATTCGAGACCCATCCAGCCGCTCCCTTTGCTCATCAAGCTCTGGCCTGCTTCATATCCCTCACCCTATCAACCCCAGACTCGGCAAGTGAGCTTTCAGCCATTCTGGCCCTGCTCTCTGGAATTCCATCCTGGAGTCCCTCCAACTCATTCCCTCCCTACCTCACCTCGGTTAAATCCATTTTGAGATTTACCTTTTTTCCGTGCTTTTGATTATTTTTCCCCTCTCCAACCCCACCAGCAATGACAAGCACTTTGGGACATATTCACCCACAAAATATACAGTCAGTATATTCTGTGAAGTGCTTTGAGACGTCTCAACAACTTGATAAAACGTTATATCAAATGCAAAGATTATTATTGTTATTATTATTCCTGAGCTGAAATGTGCTAAGTAAATATAAGCTGTACATTGCCCATGATAGTTGTAGGCATTAAATATTTACAAATCATATTTCTACTGGATATTTAGTTTTAATGATCTTAACACGATCAAGGTAATAAATAATTAAACCAGTATCACCCTTGTCACTGTAACCAATACTGAGATTTTTTCTCTCTTTGTCCATTCCAAAAGAGAATTTAGGGTGAAAAATGTGAAATCACATCAAATTGGAAATGAAATCTTGTACTCTTCATCCTATGCGGAACCCATATTTGCTACTTGTTATAAAGGGAAAATGAAAAAATTCATCAAGAATGAAAAATAATTCATCATGAACATATATCCTATAAATGATAGAAATTATTTTTTCCACATATGAAACCAAATTGAGCACCAATATATTAGGCTTAATAAGACAACTTGAAGAGATTTTCTTCTAATTTCTGATGTTACCAACCATGACAGTATGTGATTATAATCAAATTTCCCCTTTTATAAGCAAGTCACCAAAGCTGGTAATGGTATCGGCCAGCGAAATGTCACACTAATTTGATATGCCTGGTCATAAGTTGTTGAAATTTGT